GGAGCGAATGAAACATCCTCAGTCAATGGATTCAGAGACATCTTCAGTTCTAATGGATGCCAATAGGATGGCCATTCTCAAGTCAGCAACTAATCATCAAGGGTAACTGCCATACAACTTTTTTGTGTTCTTGATATCAAATAAACCACGGCCAGTCAACCTATTATGATTGCATCATTGGTTGCTTTTGGTCTTCTTATTGATTCAGCCAGTTCGTACAAGGCAACTCTGGGAGCATGTCTGCTGCTCTGCAGCAAATGCAAGGACGATCTCAATTGACCACCGTAACTACTTCCCCTATGTGTTCTATATATGCTATTTATGTATTTGCTCCATCTTTCCTTTATTTTACCATGCTTGGGCATGCTATTTTTAAATTTGTAGGATGTTAAAGCCGAAGTGAACTTGGGTGCAACTAAGAAATCTTTGCCTATGGATCCTTCATCAATATATGGGCAAACAATTTTGCAGTCAAAGTCTGGACTGGGCGGTGCAGGTAACATTATTAATCTTCCACAATTAATCAATTTACTAGTTTAACAAAATGTTATTTCGTTATGAGCAGGAATATGAATTCTTATTTTCTGTGTTTATTGAGGATTTCTGTATGTGAATTTAAGTTGCAAGTTATTCCTTTTCAATTTCCTTTTATGCTCTTCTTCATAATTATGGGAACAAAATCTATCTATGGGAACAAAATCTATCTATAAGAACAAAATCTAGCCATTTGTTGACACTGGTTTGAGTTCATACGACCATCTCTCTCAGTCACTAAGTGTGCTCCTATTGGAAGAAGATCTGCATTTGCGAAGCACTCGATCATACCTTAAAAAAATCTGGTCTGTCGACCATGGCCTTCATAAGATCTAGGGTGCTCCTGGTAGGAAGCTGAAGAAAAGCTCGAATCCAGATGAAGAAGAGATCAGAAGGGAGAGCTTTGAGAACAAGAGCCCAATAGGGTCTGGTTAACGGGACCTTGCCTCTTCTGGGAACTAGCCCTAATCGATTAACTTGTTGCATTCCTGATATAGTCAACATTGTTGAAAAGACGACTCAGATTCAAACACCCTTTGTTTTCTTCTTATTGATGTCATTGTACACGTCTGGTCACCAATGACGTTTTTTATTTCTTTTGCTGCCCTTTATTAAGGCCATAGATGTGTTCACATTTCTATATGACCTATTGACCCCTATATCTGCATATGCTAAAAACTGCTGTAGTTATTGAACCTTTTACATGTACAGTTATCCTTTAAAAGAAATTACAATTTCTACTTAGAATTTCTCCAACATTTTATGTAATAAATATGTCAAGTACAATAGAAAAAGCATTTNTGACCCCTATATCTGCATATGCTAAAAACTGCTGTAGTTATTGAACATTTTACATGTACAGTTATCCTTTAAAAGAAATTACAATTTCTACTTGGAATTTCTCCAACATTTTATGTAATAAATATGTCAAGTACAATAGAAAAAGCATTTATCCATGTATGTGTGTGTATGGGAGTACAAATAGCCATGTGCTGGTGTCTTGGTTTTTGCAGCTTGCGATGTACAGTGTAGGTGTCGAGACTTACTACTCTTCTCCGCATCTTCAAATCATAGGCTTAAAAATTAATTGATCTTTTCTGAAATGTTTTCCCTAGTGTTGTTTTCAGTCACTTCGATAGAGGATTTGTGACCAGCTAGGCTGTGTTGCACACATACATGTCTTAGATACTCTTAGAACATGTTGGGCATTTTCAGAGCATGTTCAAAGTTTAATACTAGAGTCTATAATGTTGGAAACTCGAATGTTAAAAAGTAAATTCAATAATGTTGGACGCGTGGCCAACACTTGTGGAATGTCTTGGATACTTTCCAAGGCATGGTGGCCTATGTAGAACTAGCACTTCTCTGCAGGTCTGTTGGTTTCTTTTGAGATGCTATCAATCATAAGTCAATCATTGGACACTAATAATGCATAGATAGGATATAAATATGATAATAGTTGTAATATTAGAGGTGGCAAATGAGCGGGTTGGGTTGGTTATGGGTTGAGTGCAAAACAAATCTAATCCGTTTTCAACCCGCTTAATGTACGGGTTATAATGGGTTGGATTAAACCTATTAACCCGTAAAATAATTAAAACTCTTGATATGAACACATACTAATATACTAAAAATACACACATTAATACACAAAACACACTAATACACAAAAAATACACACTTACTAACACACAAAAAACAAAACATATTTAATAAAACACCAAAATGCACACACATACACTATTCACCAAAATGCACTCAGAGGGTCATGGGTATTAGTATGTTTGTGCTTTTGGTGTATTAGTGTTACTCTGCTAAGAGCCTTGAGCATTATACAAGAACGTGTTGTAGGAGTAATCTATTACCTTCTGGGTGGAATTGCCACAACATGGGCATTCTTCTTAGCAAGAATTATAGCTGCAGGATAATGACTAGGAGAATTTGAAAGACATTATGGCTTTAAGATGTGTGTGTTTTAGTGTCTTAGTGTGTGTATTTTTTTTGTGTATTTATTTGATTTTATTACTTGCGTTATTTAATAAAAAGATAAATACTCAATCCAATAGGTATCTATTTGTAATTCATCNGGCATTATGGCATTAAGATGTGTGTGTTTTAGTGTCTTAGTGTGTGTATTTTTTTTGTGTATTTATTTGATTTTATTACTTGTGTTATTTAATAAAAAGATAAATACTCAATCCAATAGGTATCTATTTGTAATTCATCTTAATTCGCTTAATTAAAATGAATCCTATCACCCAACCCATTAAAACTTGTATTAATTAATATAGGTACCAAACCATTTATTTATAGACAGGTTACTTGCTAATGAGTTAAGATTACCACCTCTAGTTGTAATAAAGACAATAAAATTGGTTGATTGCCTATTTTGGTCCCCGTTAATTGAGGTTGATACAAAGGGTGGACTGATTGAAAAAGTAATTTTTGTAGTTATTTGCACTTAATGGTTGCTCTAAGCGATGGCTCCTCAGATGGTGGTAGAAAAGGATATTTTATGTTTTTTGCTTTTTATTTGGGATTTTTTTTTTGGGGGTGGGGGGTGGGGGGGAAATTGATGTTACATTTTATGTATATAATATTTGTCATTTCATCCTTTGTTTCGGGCCCAGTTAGTCGGACCTGATATGTTTACATGAGTAGCTTACATGCAACGTCATGTTCTTCACATTTTTTGCGGAATCCATCAAATCCATATCAGCTGAACAAGTTGCTGTTATACCATTTTTGAAGTAATAGTCTAATCCTCATGTTGGTTCTCAGGATTGAATCAAGGAGTCACTAGTCTTCCACTAAAGGGCTGGCCGCTCACTGTGAGTTTAACATGGCTTTTTTTTATATCGTACGTTTGGTCCATCACAGGTACATGAGTGGTTGACTGTTGTGCCATCATATTGTGTAGGGAATTGATCAGTTGCCTCCAAGTTTAGGTTTGCAAGCACAAAAGCCCCATCTGCAGACTCAGAATCAGTTTCTTTTGGCATCACAACAGCAGCAGGTCGTAGCCCAAGCTCAGGCACAAGGCAACGTTGGAAATTCACCCAATTATGGCCTTTCTGGATTACCAAGGGGTAACTTGAATCCAAAAGATGGTCAACCCTCAAGAAATGATGGATCTATATGCTCCCCTGTGCAATCAAATTCACCTAAGGTAAGATTATTTTAGCAAATCACAAAGTGGTGTGTCTGTTGTGCACAAGCATTCATGGCATACACACGTAACACACCCATAGATGCACATATAATTCTATTTTTGTGTTGTGAAAATAAATATAGAAATCTGTGTTTATATCCTTTACGATTATTGTACAGAGTAGATAAAACTTTTCTAACTGGAAAGGAAAGGGAAGGGAAAAAAGAACCAGAGCTTGTAGGGCTCTCATTTGCAGGCACATATTTTATGCCATTATCAATTGTGATCTGCTATGTATTGAGAATTTTTTTCTTCTGTAGTTTCTATAGGTTCCAAAAGCTAAATAATTTGGAAAGTCTCAACTCTGACACTATGTCAAGTGCACAACTGACTAGTTGAGTATATCAATAAACTTATATTTTCCTTGAAATTAGCATATTAAGGGTTATTGTGATCTGCATTGTTGTCAAATTGCGTATCGAAAGATGTATCGTTTTTCAAAAATATGTATTGTATCGTTTATCGTAAGATACACACAATTTTAAATAATTATTAATAAAAATATATATATATACCTTTGCAAAAAAAATCACAGACTCATAAAAGCATAACATATCATTAATATTCTACTAACTATTCAAGTTCTCAGCGTAGTTCACTAATATCAAGATGCAAACACCTCTAATTCAACCTTTTAACATAAGCTGCTTGAACAACCTTTTGTGATTTTGAGTTCAATTGAACAATATTAACAACAAATTTCTTTTTTTTTTTTTAAACTTAGCCACTAAAACGACGTTGTTTCACTTGCTAGGGATTAAAAAATAAGTCCTAGGGTGAAACAACGTCATTTCAACCCCAAAAAATAAAAAAGAAATTAAAAAAACAAAATCTTCACATATCGTATATTATATTATACGGTGTAAAAATGATACAAAGACACGATTCATATTGTATTTCAGGTGTATTGTACGATACTAATAACTATGATGCCCTGTCTTCCATGTCTAGTTTGAGGATTGGGTCCTTTATATTCTCAATTAGTGGCTGAGTGCCATCTTGATTCATGTGGTTGAGGTTGTCCAGTAAATCGGGTGCGGGTAGCAAAGGTTTTTTTTAGTTGACATATAAAAATGACTTGGGAATTGGGATGATAATGATGAGGTGGTGGTAAATTAGATAATATATGTTTGCATTTTATTTTGTGTATCATTTTTATTCACGCTACCAATCATGTCTGTGTGCACAACTACCTCTGCCAAGATGGACTTGTAATAAGCTCCCACGGATCCCCTTTCTTCTTTCATTTATTTTCATGACAGTATTTCAATTAAACAGTATATTCGTGCCTGCATGGTGGTGTTTGCATTGATATGTATCGGCCAATTCCTTTCCTCCATTTATAATCCATGCTTTTATCTGACAAGTGTCATTCATTCATCTCCTAGATCACCTTTATGTGGCACTTTTAATTTGTTCACAATTTTTGGTGACTAATGGTACACTACTTAATTCATTTCCGTTGGCTATTTAACAGATGAAGGTGGCCCAGATGCAACAGTCTTCTTCTCAACAGCAAGACCAGCTGCAGCAGCAGCAGCTACAACAGGTCAGGTTTGCTTATTAAGACAGAGTTCTTGGATCTCTTCTGATGAGTTGAATTGCCAATTTATTTGACGGAAATAGGCTATCCGATGATAATTCAGTTTCTAATGACTTATTCAGCATTTGACATGGGAACAATTTGTGCAGTTGTGTTCTTTTGCCTTTACTTTTTTGTTCTGTATCCTTTTAGGATTTAAACATAAATCAATTACTTATTTAAGTGGCTTGTTATTCTTATTCAGAATAACAGAAAAAGAAAACCGCACTCTGCTTCTGGAGCTGCCAATAGTACAGGTACGGGAAACACAGTGGGGCTTTCCCCTAACTCTCCACCGTCTACTCACACACCTGGTGATGGCATAACTACTGCTAGCAGTATGCAGCATGTCAATGGTGCACAGAAGAGCTTGATTATTTATTCAGAGGGAACAGGGGGTCTTGCATCATCAATGAATCAGCTGGTACACCTTTTGAGTTTTTACTTGCAGCATTTACTCATTTTTTTGAATCTGTTCTGCAGATGTGCAGATATTGTACTTGTACTTCTCAGGTCTCTATATGACATTTTGACATTGTATGCATCAATGAATTTTGAGACTACTATTCAGTCATAATGTGCTGTCTTAGCTTCATTTTCAGAGACCGATGTTTGAAACTTTGAATATATATTTTAAGTTTTCAACTATCAAATCCATACTAGAGTATCTTTATCAAGAAAAGAATAAAGTATACAAGTGACAGTGTGAAACATTACTATGGTCCTCAAGTATTGTTTCTTAGTGCAGGATGACATAGAACATTTTGCTGATGTTGGTTCTTTGGATGATAATGTGGAGTCATTTCTATCACATGATGGAGGAGATGGAAGAGATTTATATGGCACGTTAAAGCAAACTCTTAATGAGCACAAACCAGAATCTTCCAAGGGTGATAATCCAACTTTGTTATTAAATCTACCTGAGGAGCAGTAGTTGTTGCTGTTTACATATGCCCAAATGCTCTATGTTCAGGTTTTTCCTTTGAGGAAGTTGGATGCATACGAACAAGAAATAAAGTTACCAGCTGTCATTTTTCCTCTGATGGGAAGTTGCTAGCTAGTGCTGGACATGACAAGAAGGTATGATGCATAGTACATCACAAATCATAATGCTTCATCCACTGTCAAAGGAATACAGTTACCTGAGTAAACATATAGGAAGTACGAATATGAATATGGGATGATACGAGGTACGATATGATATGGATGTGGCGATATGACAAAACCTTAAAAAAAAAGATACGGATACGGCGATACTACAAAACCTAAAAAAACAGGATATGGATATGGCCAGGATATGTTTATAATAAAATTTATTATATATTTTACCATTAGAACAACTTAAAAATTATAATTTTTTCGTATTTTTTAACACTAGTAAACAAAATTAGCAATTTTAACCTTGAAAAAAGTGTAATATCATCTTATTATAATATATCTATAAAGTGAACTTGACCGATTAAAAGAATTAGAACCAACATTTAACTAGTTGGTTTGCTTACAAATATTTGTCTCAAAGGTTAATAGTGTAACTAATTTATTTTTTTATATTCTTTTGACATATTATAGTAGATAATACTTTAAAAAACACTCGCGTTTTCAAAGTCAAATAGAATTTTGTTGATGTTTTGTATTGTATATAAAATCTTGCTCCACTTGTAGAAGTATCCGCGAAGTATCCATGTGTTTTATTAATTATCGGATATATATGAGGCATATCCGATATGTATCGTCAAGTATTCGACGAGTACGAAGTATCCGTGCTTTATAGGTGAACATTTTGTTTCATTTATACTGGTTCATGTCATACAATGGAATAATTTTTGCTATCACGAGGGATATTCTGACTGAAGTCTTTTAACATTGCTGGCTTACGAGTATTTGCACATGCTTGTCTATCCGNTATGAGGCATATCCGATATGTATCGTCAAGTATTCGACGAGTACGAAGTACCCGTGCTTTATAGGTGAACATTTTTGTTTCATTTATACTGGTTCATGTCATACAATGGAATAATTTTTGCTATCACGAGGGATATTCTTACTGAAGTCTTTTAACATTGCTGGCTTACGAGTATTTGCACATGCTTGTCTATCCGCTTGGATCTTTGATCATTGTGTTTTGTTCTAGTGCACATACTCAGCAAAGTGAATGCAATGGAGAAGTTTATAAAAAGCAGCACTGGTCGAAAAGGAATAATAATCACTTTTTTTTTTATCAGACTGTTCTGTGGAACATGGATACCCTGCAAACAGAGAGCACCCCAGAAGAGCACCAATACTTAATTACAGATGTTCGTTTCAGGCCAAACTCTACTCAGCTAGCAACAGCTTCATTTGATAAGTCTGTGAGATTATGGGATGCAGCTAACGTAATTATTTCTGACCCTCTTGTTCCATAATTTTGTATGCTAGGAGTGTTCATAAGTTAGACTTTGTTATGGGAACAATTTTTGTGATTCTTTCAGTAATAGTGCACTTCATAAAATATGCATCTGTTATTACCTATTCACACCGTTAACATCACATATTTAACTTCTGGTTGCAGCCAAGCTACTGTTTGCATGCCTATACAGGGCACACTGCGCATGTTATGTCCCTAGATTTCCATCCCAAGAAGAATGATCTTTTCTGCTTTTGTGATAGCAACTATGAAATCCGCTATTGGAATATTAGTCCATTCTCATGTGCTCGTGTTTCCAAAGTCAGTTTTTTCATACAGTACATTTTGAGTTTCCCTTTTTTCATATTGCACATTGTTTGAAAATTCTTTTGAAGTAAAATTGGATCACGGCTGGTTAATTGCTTCGCGTAGCAAGGAGGCAATGCACAAGTGAGATTTCAACCAGTGATAGGACGTCAATTGGCTGCAGCGTCCAATAAAGTGGTGTCCATATTTGATGTAGAAACCGACCGGCAAACTCATGCTTTCCAGGTTTGAAAACTTTCACTCAGTAAATAATTGCATCATGAGGCTTTAGTGACTAATGCAATTTTTCATGCATGGTCTTCCTTCTTTGGAATGTGACGATGATGTGTGATTTTTATTTTCTGTGATTATTCTATTTATCTAATTATCAGGAACACAATGGAGTGGTAAATTACCTGTGCTGGGATCTTACAGGCGATTATTTGGCATCTGTCACCGAGGAGTCTGTGAAAGTTTGGTCATTAGCTTCGGGAGAGTGCATTCATGAGCTCAGCTCCAATGGGAACCAATTCCATTCTTGTGTTTTTCATCCGAGCTATTCAACTCTCTTGGTGATTGGTGGATTGCGGGTAATTGCTTCTAATTCCCTTCTGATATAAGTGTCTTATCACCTTGAGCGACCATCTCTTTAGTAATAGACTTCTGCTGTGCCTATCAGACTGAATTTATTTCCCAGCATTTAGCCCACAAATAATTCCATTCTGTCTGTATGCATTTGAAGAATGAAATTGCTTTTCATCAAAATCAGTTTCATTTTTTGGAAGCGTGAGATTTGTTTTATTTTGAGGAATTTTTTTTTCAGTCTTTTTTACATTTTTCCAGGTACTTTTCCAGTGGTTGCTTTTTTTGTCCTTCTCCCAATGTGCTTCACTCTTTTTCGTAAGTCCATTTCAAAGGCTTAGGTTATGGTGACTTACACTAATGCATTTGCATTTGGCTTTAGTGCCCCCTTGGCCTCTTAAGGCATGCCAGCATGTGTTGGCAGGTTCACAGTTGCATAGCATCTTGAGCTGAAGATGTTGTGTTCGTGTTTTTGTCAATGATTACAACATGGCTAAATGAAGTTAATAACTTTACTTGGGTACTGTCTGGTAACACTTTTGTTCAATTATTTTTCTTGCTTTTTTGCTTTTCTAAATTACTTAAGTGAAGTGATGTTTATTTTTTGAATATTTGATATTTTACTTGTTCCTTGTCCAAGATTATTTTCTTTCTCCTAATTTGAATCACATGTATAACAACAGTACATATATTTACATATGTAATTTGTAATTTCTATATGGATGACATTTATTGTATAGTGCTCAAGTATGGTTTTGCTTTTACAACGAAATTTCTTTTTTGCTTAAAATAAACGTTAGGAGATGGCAGTATAACGCGTTATGAGGCAGTAGTCTAAAGTTTAAACATTCTCATTTTCGCTGCACTTGCAGTCGTTGGAGCTGTGGAGCATGGCTGAGAACAAGAGCATGACAGTTACGGCTCATGAGAATATAATTGCTGCTTTGGCACAGTNAAGAGGCAGTAGTCTAAAGTTTAAACATTCTCATTTTCGCTGCACTTGCAGTCGTTGGAGCTGTGGAGCATGACTGCGAACAAGAGCATGACAGTTACGGCTCATGAGAATATAATTGCTGCTTTGGCACAGTCACCTGTCACCGGAATGGTTGCCTCTGCAAGCCACGACAGCTCCGTCAAGTTATGGAAATAAATTATATATATGATAGATGGTGATAATGGTTGATGATGCAGAAGAGGGTGTTATTTCTCGGTGATGCATGCAGGTTTTCTATTCTATCATTATAATAAAATGTTTGTTGTCTATATTTGCTTGCTAAGTTGGAACTTATTTTTACTGCCTTAAAAGCTTTTCTTTATTGGGTTGAGCATGTTGGAGAGTTGAGGATGGAAGGTGCGATAAAAATAGTCATTTTCATTATGGACTTACAAAAACTAGGTAAGACAATCTATAATTTCTTGGGTATATAATAGGGTGATTTACAAGTATAAGCATAATAGTATTTTTTTTGTCCTTAAAATATGACCGTTTTATCAATTTGTTCCTTANGCTGAGGATGGAAGATGCGATAAAAATAGTCATTTTCTTTATGGACTTACAAAAACTAGGTAAGACAATCTATAATTTCTTGGGTATATAATAGGGTGATTTACAAGTATACACATAATAGTATTTTTTTTGTCCTTAAAATATGACCGTTTTATCAATTTGTTCCTTATTGTATCAATTTTATAAATTTGGTTTATAAAGTTTTAATTCGTGTCACTTTGGTTTTTAATCGGACAGTTCGTTAAACATTTTTATAAAAGTGACTACGTGTCATTATTTTATTTTAAACGGTATCACGTGATAAATATATGATCATTTAGACAAATTTAATGGTTCATTTGTGTAGGGATAATTTAAATATGAATTGAATATTTTAGGGAATAAATTGATAAAATGTAAATACTTTAGGGATAAANCAGACAGTTCATTAAATATTTTTATTAAAGTGACTACGTGTCATTATTTTATTTTAAACTGTATCACGTGATAAATATATGATCATTTAGACAAATTTAATGGTTCATTTGTGTAGGGATAATTTAAATATGAATTGAATATTTTAGGGAATAAATTGATAAAATGTAAATACTTTAGGGATAAAAAATGCTAGTACTTAAAGTTTTAATTGTTACAATTATATCTTTAAAGTTTTAAACGAGTTTTAATTTAGTCCTTCTATTCAGATCTTTCTTTTTGTTTATTCCGACGATAAAGATGCAATAGAACTTGCCCATAAGGGTCTATTTGGTCAACAAAAAATGTCTCTCAAATGCATAGCTATTTCTCTTTTTAGCTGACAATGTAACTCACTTTTCCACTATATATCTTTTTATTTGGGTTTGTTAATTGTTTTTTTCTTTTCAAAATTAGATGAAATAACACCCAACAGATTTTTATTATATAAATGTATCTTTTTATCTGAGTCATATGTATGTTAGTCACAAAAGACTATTCTGTCATGATGAATTTTGATGTAGAAAGCCTAAATTGAAACTCAATTAAACTCGAAAGACTTGATTGTCGCAATTGAAATTGTAAGGGCTAAATAAAAATTAAATTCATATTTTAAGGGTGTAAGTTGTAATTTATCTGTATTTTTATGAATTTTAGAACTAGACGANAGTTCATATTTTAAGGGTGTAAGTTGTAATTTATCTGTATTTTTATGAATTTTAGAACTAGACGAGTCTTACCAGCAGGGGGTGCTGCCTGCAGTGCAATTTCGACAATTTTTGGGCTATGTTTGAAATTTTCAAAAAATTAAAATTTTTTTTAGCATTTGCGTTCACTAAAATGTTTCTAAAATTTTAATTAGTACTTANAAACTCGAAAGACTTGATTGTCGCAATTGAAATTGTAAGGGCTAAATAAAAATTAAATTCATATTTTAAGGGTGTAAGTTGTAATTTATCTGTATTTTTATGAATTTTAGAACTAGACGAGTCATACCAGCAGGGGGTGCTGCCCGCAGTGCAATTTCGACAATTTTTGGGCTATGTTTGAAATTTTCAAAAAATTAAATTTTTTTTTAGCATTTGCGTTCACTAAAATGTTTCTAAAATTTTAATTAGTACTTAATATTTGAATAATATTTTTTAGGTGGTTTAACGTTTGATTTAATATGTTAACCTAATAATGAGGTAATTAATGTGGTCCCCATGAATAAGTTAAAAGAGGTGTTGTTCGGGTATATATTTTTATAAGATTTTAGCTACATTATTAAATCAATAAATTAGATTTGTTTTTTAACTTCTACTAGCATTACTTTTTATTTTGTCTCCAATTCTCTCTTCCTTAAGACACCAAACCACCAATTGTCATCACTCAAAATTACTTGTTTAGTTGCCACGAGTTTTTATGATTATCATTTGGTTGTTCTGTTTGACCTACTCTACTCTCATGGTCGATGCTCTCTTCTCTTTCTCCCCTTTGTTTTCATCTCCTATTTTCTTACTATTTTCAAACATGAATTGAAATAAAATTTGAAATTTGATAATGTAATTTTGAAGTTATAGTTTGAACTTTCAAATTTTAAAATTAAAATTAACAATGGGGACATAATAAGCATCACAAATTAGGACCAAAACAAATCGAAAATTTAGATGACGAGAGAACTAATGACACTTTATATAAAAAGACTTGAATTTGTTATGATTTTCATGGATTTCACCACCAAATAAAACAATTATCTTGAGATGTCATTAACCTCACAACAAGATTGAGACATGAATTAGGTTGTGACTCTTTTTATGATATTTTATGCTCTTATGAGGGAATTTTTTTTTTTTTTGCAACCGGAGCCTCTGGAGTTAGTGGCAGCTTCGGTAGCTNTCGAGACATTGTGACTCTTTTTATGATATTTTATGCTCTTATGAGGGAATTTTTTTTTTTCGCAACCGCAGCCTCTGGAGGTAGTGGCAGTTTCGGTAGCTACGACTCTGATTGATTCTATTGTGCATGAAAGAGAGATTGTCGAATATTTACTATGCTTTGGGTCCGTAAATTTGCTATAAGTGTGTATTAACATGTAAGGATATTTGTATTCGGAGGGAAGAGGCTACAGACTTTTCGATGTAATCCCTCCATGTATCTCTTACCTGAATCAATATTGCTCTTATGGTGCTGTTTATTCAAAAAACAAAAACAAAAACAAAAACCTATTATTTTTAAAAAAAAATCTATATCTATATCTATTCTATACTATTTCTAAAAGTACTTTACAAACAAAACTTTTAATTTCCTCTTATATTTTCAAATAATTATATAAAGACAATCATATCTTATTTTCTAATTTAACTCTTCACTACAAGAAAACAGGGCTTTTGCTTTTTGGTAAAAGGGCTGTAAAGTTAGCTTCANCAAAAACCTATTATTTTTTTAAAAAAATCTGTATCTATATCTATTCTATACTATTTCTAAAAGTACTTTACAAACAAAACTTTTAATTTCCTCTTATATTTTCAAATAATTATATAAAGACAATCATATCTTATTTTCTAATTTAACTCTTCACTACAAGAAAACAGGGCTTTTGCTTTTTGGTAAAAGGGCTGTAAAGTTAGCTTCAGTAATTTGCCGAAACAAAAACATACTAGCTTTTGCAAATAGCGGAAGCAAAAAAGTTGAATCAAAAGAGAAATATTTGCTTCGGGATGGGAGAGCTGAAGCAAAAAACTTCATGCTAAAGCAAATACTCACATAATACTGCAAATATAATTTTTTTTTACAGAAAATAGGCACCTAATCCTGTCCATTCATAAATATAATTACGTATCTTCTAAATCCATACAAATCTCTCATACAATCTAGTATAAACGATTCTAATTAAAAATAAAAGTAATAAACACAATAATATTATAATTATCACAAACATCTGAATTTAATTACGTATCAATAGTTCAATATTTCTAAAATCATCAAAAGTATTAATTAAGTCCACATAGTTCAAAAACATAAATAAATGATGGCATGCACAATATTTGCCCTTTCTCTATAATTTACAAAATAAAAAATTATTTNATTAATTAAGTCCACATAGTTCAAAAACATAAATAAATGATGGCATGCACAATATTTGCCCTTTCTCTATAATTTACAAAATAAAAAATTATTTTGCATTATTATTAAGTAATTTATAAAATGAAGTACATAAAATTACTAACACAAATAAAATAAATTAAAATGCAATATATATATNACATCTGAATTTAATTACGTATCAATAGTTCAATATTTCTAAAATCATCAAAAGTACTAATTAAGTACACATAGTTCAAAAACATAAATAAATGACGGCATGCACAATATTTGCCCTTTCTCTATAATTTACAAAATAAAAAATTATTTTGTATTATTATTAAGTAATTTATAAAACGAAGTACATAAAATTACTAACACAAATAAAATAAATTAAAATGCAATATATATATATATATATATATATATAATAAAACAAGAATGTGTTAAAATTTTGTCTCAGTCATATTTTTTCCCTCAAAACTATCACCAATCACTTACCTCACCCATCGTCTTTTTGTCAGTCTCAAACATTAAATCGCATCACTTATTTCTATCATATGTTTAATTATTTATATATTTCTTCCCTAAAAATATCACATCACTCATTTATATCATATATTTAATTATTTAATATTTAATTAATTTATAATTAATATATTTTGAAAAAAATTAATATAATAGAATCGATTTTTCAGACGCTCGAATTTTATATTTTATCGGGTTATGACTAGTACATANAATTAATATAATGAAATCGATTTTTCAGACGCTCGAATTTTATATTTTATCGGGTTATGACTAGTACATAAATATATGGTCAAGTAGCCATTCTTTTAACTGATCGTCCAACAGTTGGTCTACCTTTTCAGGGTCTACCCACACAAGCATCAGGCTTCACCACCTCTCCACACAAACCCTCCTAAATTAAATGTGTGAACCAAAAAATTAAGAGACTTGGAAGCAAAACTACATCATTCAACCAAAACACAACATACATATAAATGAACTTGTTTTCAAGGTTTCCAATTGCAAACGGAATTATGTAGAGTTGTCAATTCATAAACAGTTCTAAATTTAAACAAAAGACCATCACAAACTTTTTTAAAAACCACCACCATCACCGA